TAATGAGCTATCCAAAAAATTTAAAAATTCTGGCAAACTACGTAATGAAAGTATATACTCCAATGTACTTCAATATTACATATTACAAACTCTGTAGTGTACGGTAATATATTATATTATAAATTTACTAGATGACCCGATAGACGTTGTCCTCTACCCAATTCTGCACTTTTTCAATATCCTGTACTAATATTTACCGTTCAGTTAAAATTATAATTATTGTTTTTCGAATTACTATTTACATCAATAAATGAGTGAATGTACAACTGCTTCAAATAAAATGATGATTCTCAATCCCACAGGTAACACTTTAATTATCCTTTTAACAAATATTTAAAATATGTTCAATAAAATTATATAATAAAAATTAAACACTGCAATTTAAAACCACAAATTTATTTCCAATAGCTCAATTTATTTTAATGTCAAGGGTTATACAATTTTTAGTCATGTTTAGTTTAGTTTAGTGTGGATGTAAAAATGAATGATTTTTTGTTTATTCACGACTAAAACATTGACTTTCCAAATGTATCACACAAAAAATCATCGCCTGCCTTTGTGATTTATAGCATAATTTACACGCAAATATAAATATAAATATAAATAAATATAAATATAAATATAAATATAAATATAAATATAAATAAATATAAATATAAATATAAATATAAATATAAATATAAATATAAATATAAATATAAATATAAATATAAATATAAATATAAATATCAAGCAAGTCATCCCGAGATAAATCTTCAAAAATTGGCTTAATATGAGGTTGAACATCAGGATGTAATAGAGTTGGATGTTTAATTTTTTTGGCATTTTCTCCTAAAGATTCAGCTTTGCGCGAGTTTTTAATGTATAAATAATGATAATTTTGTTTTGAATATTTACAGGCATATTTTTGAGATGTTATTGTAACGATTTATGAAAAAAAAAATTAATTTTTTTTTCTTGTTACATGTATCGCCCCCCTTAAAGCATTCGCAACACAGATAACCAGACATTTTTTTTTTATTCAACAATATATTTACAACTGTCCTACAAAGACATTAAGTAAATCTTTTGGCAATTATATGTATAAATGACATCGATATATAAATAGTGAAAAATACACAGTTGCATTTTTCCTTTATAAGAAGTAATATAATGTGACACGAGTAATTACATGCTAATTAAATCACTAAATATTTTTCTTTTGAGTCTTCGTGTTGTATTTGTGTATAGCAGCGCGTTGGCCAACTCATTTGGGTGTTCTTCCAGTCTGTCTTTGTGGTTAACAGCGAATCTTTTAACTTCCTCGGCTACAGTGCGCATATGTGTGTCATCATGGATCAGCCAGGTGGGAGTATATTTTGGGGCGTCTAAAGCGATCCTAAAAACTTTGTTCTGAAACCTTTGAATGATGTTAGCATTACTTTTAGATGTGGTACCCCAAAGAGCTATGCCATATGTCCAAATCGGCTTAAGTACAACTTTGTATACCAGTAGTTTGTTGTGTACAGAAAGATTTACATTTACATTTACATTTACATTTACATTTATTCACATTCACATTCATTCACATTCATTCGCATTCGCATTCGCATTCGCATTCGCATTCGCATTCGCATTCGCATTCGCATTCGCATTCGCATTCGCATTCGCATTCGCATTCGCATTCGCATTCGCATTCGCATTCGCATTCGCATTCGCATTCGCATTCGCATTCGCATTCGCATTCGCATTCGCATTCGCATTCGCATTCGCATTCGCATTCGCATTCGCATTCGCATTCGCATTCGCATTCGCATTCGCATTCGCATTCGCATTCGCATTCGCATTCGCATTCGCATTCGCATTCGCATTCGCATTCGCATTCGCATTCGCATTCGCATTCGCATTCGCATTCGCATTCGCATTCGCATTCGCATTCGCATTCGCATTCGCATTCGCATTCGCATTCGCATTCGCATTCGCATTCGCATTCGCATTCGCATTCGCATTCGCATTCGCATTCGCATTCGCATTCGCATTCGCATTCGCATTCGCATTCGCATTCGCATTCGCATTCGCATTCGCATTCGCATTCGCATTCGCATTCGCATTCGCATTCGCATTCGCATTCGCATTCGCATTCGCATTCGCATTCGCATTCGCATTCGCATTCGCATTCGCATTCGCATTCGCATTCGCATTCGCATTCGCATTCGCATTCGCATTCGCATTCGCATTCGCATTCGCATTCGCATTCGCATTCGCATTCGCATTCGCATTCGCATTCGCATTCGCATTCGCATTCGCATTCGCATTCGCATTCGCATTCGCATTCGCATTCGCATTCGCATTCGCATTCGCATTCGCATTCGCATTCGCATTCGCATTCGCATTCGCATTCGCATTCGCATTCGCATTCGCATTCGCATTCGCATTCGCATTCGCATTCGCATTCGCATTCGCATTCGCATTCGCATTCGCATTCGCATTCGCATTCGCATTCGCATTCGCATTCGCATTCGCATTCGCATTCGCATTCGCATTCGCATTCGCATTCGCATTCGCATTCGCATTCGCATTCGCATTCGCATTCGCATTCGCATTCGCATTCGCATTCGCATTCGCATTCGCATTCGCATTCGCATTCGCATTCGCATTCGCATTCGCATTCGCATTCAAAGTAATTAAAGACGTGTATTGGTTTATGAGAAAGTTTATAATTATTTATTTAGAAGTTTATGAAAATTACATATAAGCTAATAATGAAAGCAGACTAAATATTATTCGAATGTACAATTTCCAATTTGAGAACTGCATTCATGACAAACAAATATATAACTAAATAGAAATGCACAAAAAAGTATTAATTATAATTATATTAAAAAATTCAAAGGGTTACAAAAAAAATTTCAAGAACAAAAAGCGAAACACGTAGCTTGAAACGGATGTTTGTGACTGAATAAAAAAATAAGAAAAAAGTAGCTGGATTTTTTTCGGAGCCGTCCGAAATTTTCCGGGATCGATCCGGACTTTTCCGGGTTGGAACCGATCACGGTTCTCCCGGACCC